GCGCCTCGAGTTAGTGTTATACTGAGATAGTAGGTTGTCGATTCTGGCTCTCTGGGTTGCTCTTCTGACTGCCCGTAGTTCCCGTCGGATTCGCTTAGGCAGCTGTGGCCGTGATTTGGAATCGTGGGCTGGTATCTGCCGTCGTTGGTTCAAGAGCTGCGTGGCAATGACGTTGCATGACGTCGTGGCCAGTGCTTCCGCAGGTGGTTGATGAGCCGCCAAAGTATCCGAGAGAGCCTCCTCGACCGCTTCGCATGTGAGTTGAAGGTGTTCTGTGTCGCGTAATATGTCCAACTTGTCAGCCAATGTCTGTTCGTAGCTGGAAACATGAATTGGTGGCCAACCGAGCGGTAGTGATTTCAACTTTCGGTCAGGCCGTCTCGACTCCGTTCTCGTGGAGTGCACCCCCGGCACGTCGCTGCATTTTGCCGCGGCGCAGTGGCCGGATCCCGCGTCGATTGCGCGAGTTGCCCCACAATCCCCGATAGTGCACCAGAGCCGTCGGTTGCATAATATGCAATCGATTTGCCTTGGGGTTTTGCTTAGACATATGAACGCGCGCCGCTGATGAGGCTGCTTCTTGAAGAACATATTAGCCATCGCAAGCTTGTTGGTCGCTGCCCAATTCTTGAACCGCTGCCCCCTGGGGATCGCCCCTGGAGCTCCCCATGGCCCGACTGATCGCCTGTCGTCATCGTCGGTCCGTTCCCCAGCCGCGGCGTTGCAGTCGGCGCATAGTGCGAAGTGCGTCCGTCGAGCGTTCGCCTCGTCACAAACACAATCCAGCACGTCGTGCATATCCTGCGCATGCTTGTCCCCGTGCCCAGCGTGGGGAAAGTGGGCAGCAACCGCTCGTATTCTGAAATGCTTCCTAGTGATGTCGTCGTAGGCAATGCGCTCGTTAATCTGTTTGAAACCTGCTATTTGCGACGCCCACCGCTTGCGTGCAATGATTGCAGCGTCCCGATGTGGCTTGGTATATCCAGCCCCCCCCCCCCCCCCCCCCGAAAACACGTGCCAGCCAGGCATTGTTCATAATCCTTCCTTGATCTCCCTTTCTGTTTCGTTTGTGGCAATGGCGTCCCAGTGGATGTTCTGCAAGTTGCCCAGAAGTTCCACCGCTCTGTCGTCGGTGGCCAGTCCTCTGGTATTCAAGCGAATCGCTATAAACTTGTCCAGTAGAGGTTGGTCGGCAGCGGCCTGCCGAAGGATAGTGGCTGCATCTGGCCCCTGTGACTCCCCATGGTTCTCCAGAGGTTTCTCGATTGGACATGAAACTGGTGAAACTGACACTTGCGAGACAGCATCGAACTCGGAGATGAGTCCTGGGTTGGGGCCGGGATCGATGGCCTGAGTCGGCGCCCAAACAATGTGATCCGCGATGCTGGAGTCGGAGACCGCAGTCGAAGTCGGGCGCCGGAGTGCCTGGTCAGAGCTGGAGTCGAAGGCCTGAGCGGATGTCCACGAAACCTGCTTGTCGTCGCTGGCGTCGGTCACTGTCCTGGGGCGATGAGCATCCTGAGGGCTGGACGGGGCAAATTGCGAAGACAAGGGTGCGTCTCCAGGAATGCTCGACAATTGCCCCCTGCCGCCTCCTCCAGCGCGGGCTGTTGGACATGCCTCTGTTGGATATCCATCTTGGCCCCTGTCCTCTCCAATTGCGTCTGGAGCGGAATTTGCGGCTCCTGAATCGGAGGCAGCACGGTGGCCCTGGGGTCGGGATTGGGAAATTAACGGAATCCGCCGAACCGGCGCGTGAGTTTCTGAAAGCGTGGGCTCGGGCTCGCTCAGGCTTCGTCCGGGGGGGGGGGGGGGGGGCAGACGACGAAAACCATCGAAGGAATTTGCGCGCGATTGGGGGGGGGGGTAGGAGAGAGGGGTGGGTGGGCAGGAGAGACGGGGGGGGGGCAGGAGGGGGGGTGCGGGGGGCGGGGGAAGGAGAGAGGGGGGGGGGGGAGAGAGCGGGGGGGGGGATGGGATGGGGGGGCAGGAGAGAGGGGGGGGCAGGAGAGAGGGGGGGGGAGGAAAGGGAAGTGGGCGGGGGAGAAGGGGCGGCGACAGGAGAGAGAGGGGGGGAAAAAGGGGAAGGAGAGAGGGGCGGGGGGGGGGGGCAGGAGAGAGAGGGGGGGGGCAGGAGAGAGGGGGGGAAGGGGGGGATCGGCGAGAGGGGGGGGCGAGAAGGAAGGGAAGTGGACAGAAGAGAGGGGGGGGGGGGGGCAGGAGAGAGAGGGGGGGGGGGAAAGGAGAGAGGGGGGGGGGACAGGATAGAGGGGGGGGGCAGGAGAGAAGAGGGGAGGTGGGGGGGGGGCAGGATCATCATTATCTCCATCACCATCGCCATCACCATCGTCACATCACCAGCGTCGTCAGCGTCGTCATCATCGTCGCCATCATCTGGGGCGCCCTGGATCGGCGGCGCTGGCCGGAGGCCGCTACAGTATGGGGGGCGACAGTCGGATGGGGGCCGCGGTCGGTCAGGGCTGGCAAGACAAATAATGGTGAGGTAGGCGGTGGGAGGTTGGAGTTGGAGTCTGCATCAGGGTCGGAGGCCGGGGTCGATATGCAATTAACATCCTCGCTGTCGTCGGTGACTCGCGGTGCCCTGAGGTGGCGAACATCCCGGTAATCAAATGAAACACGTCGGAAGCAAGGTGGGACACATCCCCATGGGCACTACTGCATTTTCCTCTGCCACCCCCAATATCGCAACCTAGTCCCTACTTTCTTGATCCAGAGTGAATTGACACTGGGGGGGGGGGGGGGGGCGATGATAAGCATGTACTGGTACTGCAATTCTGGTTTCTCACATGAATGCCGTCGTAGCGTCACTCGCTCTCGGTGAACGGCTCAGGTCTGATCTTCTTGCGCCGCTTCTGCATTGCTTCCTCCACCTGCTTTTCGACGACCTTCCCCGTTGCAGTCGCATGCCATGCCCCCCCCCCCGGTCGCGCCATGCAGCTTTCCTCTCTTTCCCAAGACCGTCTCTCATCGCAACCATACTCTTTGGCTAAAGCATCCTGGTCCCGCGTTGCGCGCGACCTGAATGTTCATCGAGATAGTGCAGTGTGTAGCCCAACCTCTTGTCTCTGTCCCTCTCCTTCCCGGTGAGGTTATTCTGGAAGCAGGCTGTGCCACATGTGTTCTCGTCCTTCCTCAACGCATCCTGGGCTTTGTTCCCAAGCTCGACCTTTGCCGGGACACTTGGAAAACCGAACGTATTCATTTTTGTTGCATTCGACGACCCTGCAGTCACCGCCGCATGTGTACCATCCCCCAACAACTGTTGCAATGCATTCTCCAGGCGGTCCACTACTATTGCTGATCGCATATTTTCCAGGAGACCAAACGCAATTACCTGTTTGCGGTGTTTGACCCTCCCATCCCATCCGTCTTGCATCGATGCGTATGTGCTGTATGTTTGCTCTTGTCGTCCACCATCGTGCTTACCATTGACTGTAGGTCGGGCTTCGTCACATACAACTCGTCCAAGTCGTGTCGCAGTGCCTCCACCTCCATCCCCATGTCTTCCATGTTGTCCCGCACCTCTGTTAAATTGTTCTTGACGTCCTTCATTTCCTCCTTCGTTCTCTCAATATTCTCCTTCATCTTATTTAACTTACTCTGAGTAGATCGAACCGTTTACCCTGCCGTTTTTCATTATCCTGAAACCAAAGGGGGGCTGTACTCATCATCGCATTATCCATCTCCCTCTCTTTCTCCTGCTCCTCTCCGCTGCAAGCCGCTTCGAAGATCTCAAGTAAATTGGGTTTTGCCCTGCACGGGGCGGGTGTGGAACCTGTTGCGCCGCCATGGCGCTTAGATGCCATCGTAGTCCAGACGCACGTGCGGTGCGAGTAGGAAGGGACGAGTACTGGGAAGTTGGTGTGGGGAAGATGTAATTGCGCACCTGAGTGGCTTGACCTTGAGTCACAATGGCTTGAGCCAATATCGGCCAGCCAGCTGGCCGTCATATAGTGGCTGAGTGTCTTCAAGCAACTCGGGCATAACCAATTTGGACGTCGGAGGCGCTGCAAGGGGCGTGAACCCTGGCGCCAACGAGTTGAATGTGAACGCATCCGCCCTCTTCCCACGCCGAGACGCATAGCGAGGTGCACACACCGTAGAATAGCAGACCTCATGGTCGGGATCAACACGTTGGAACTCAAGTTCAAGGTTCTTTAAACAACGGTCATCCCACAGGGCCGTGACATGTAGCACTACTTGCCCAGCGACCCCCACTTGTCGGATACGGGGCCGCGTAGACGATGAGAGAACCTGTCGCTGACCATGGGCAGCCATCTGTAATCCAGAATAACGCTGGGCCGAATACTGAGACATGGGCCTCAGAAGGCGGCCAGTGAGACAAGACAAGGAAACATGAACATCATCCAACGCATGAGAATTTAGAATCACCTGGCACAATAATCAAAAACAAAGCTAGCCGACTTGCGCCACAATGGCTACGGGAGCGGGGAGGAGGAAGAGGAGGCGGAGGAGGAGGCAGAGAAGGAAAACAACCCAGAATTCCCTGAGATTGCCCAAGACCGCTCCAACGTGCCGACGCCGACGGAGGACGACGACGACAACGACAATGACGCCGACGAACCACCCCACACCAACAGGGGGAGGGCGGGGGCACCAAGCATTGGGGGGGCGGAACCCTGGATCATATATGCCATGGTGGCTGAGAAACGGCCCCAGAGAATCGCGAGAAAACGCCGGTAGCGATTATTGTTCGCGACGCCTGGATCGGCGAGGATCCGTTCTCCTCTCTTGTTCGTCTCTTGTTCGTTCTCCTCTCCGCAAAAGGCACCACAATGCCCCGTCAGCGCCCTCCTGGGCCCCTGGGATGGTGTACAGACCCGCCTGGCCGAGGCCTGGAGTGCTTATACACACCATGCAAGGGCCCAGGACTGCCCTGGCCAGGTCGTGGCGGTGCCGTTTCGCTGCCTTCAGCGCGCCCCTCCCTCCTCGGTCCTCCTTGGCTCGCGCGCGAAGGCCTCCAAGCCCCGCCGCAGCTCGGCCACTTCGGCGTTCAGTCTGTCGCTGGCCGCCGCAGCGGCCCGCGACGCCTCGCGCAGCCCCTCCTCGCGCTCCTGTCGCCGGTCGGTCGGGGCGCCACCTCCCGCTTGTCTCGGCCCCCCTTCTCCCCACGATGCTTCCTTTGATTGGGGAGGGGGACGAGGGAGGAGAGCGTGCTTCGTGTGTTGTGGCGGGTGAAGGGGAAGGGGGGGCGGGCAGGACGCGACGCAATCCAGAGAGGCGCCCCCCGGCCCCCTCCCCCAGGCAGGAATGTGTTTGACACTCAAGGCAGGCACCACAGGACTATGAACACCACAGGCCTGTGTACACGCATACGCAGAATTGCGCACAAGACTACCAACGAATGCTTATACGCAGACTCGTGTGCGCCACGAGCGCACGCCTAGGTTCGTCGCATGTGCATCAATCGCACAATCCGATGTGCATTGCTGACCATTGTGCGCGCACGCATTGGCGTGATAACGCCACAAGAAGCGCGTTGGTGTTTATCGAGCACCGTCTATAGCATTGGGATGTCATGAGCAGAGGTTTGTATATCGTTTGTGTGCATCACGATCCCATCCAAGCTTGAACACAGAAAATGGGCTGTACACCACCAAACTCGCGCACACCATTACAGGCATCTGTACGCCACCCGCCTGCTCAAAGACTTCTGCCTCTGTACACTTCAAAACAACCTGAATTAACAACTTATTTCAGGGGACTCCCGAGGATATCGCTCGCGGTCGGACAAGCGGCGGGCTACACCGCAAGATAATTAGGCAATGCGTGTGCACACACGTCGCGGGTGCGCACGCAGCCACGTGGCGGAGTCGGGCAACAAGCGAATCAAAATAGAGAGCGCGCCTGGCCCCTGAGGCAACAGCCTGGAAGGGGGCGTAAGGCTCACCCAGGAAAGGCCGCGCTACGCAAGGACTCACGGGGAGACCCTACGAACAGCAGGATGAGGAGCCAGGTAAGCAGATGCACGGGACCAGCGGCCAAGGCAAGTAAGAGGCGCAGAACTGACGGGCGATACGAGAATGCAACAATGGATGCGGACCAGCAGCCTGCCAGAGTGCGCGGCCCTCCTGGGAAGGCCAGTGACCTCGAAGAGGTGCAAGGGGCGGCGCGGCAAGGAGGGGGGAGAAGACAAGGCAATGCAAATCGGATCACCGGCACGGCGACGGCGGTGGGCAGTATGGGAGGGGGGCTGTCCATCCGAGGGCGTAAGTGCAAGTAAACACCGGATTGTTTGTACACTCCAGGCCCGCGACGAATGCAAATCTTACTCGGCGGCTAGGCGCGCAACGACAGCGGCGGTCGGAAACCCGTGCACGCGCAAACACACACATGCCCGTCTCACCACGAGCGCACAAGGTGAGCGCGGGCCCATGTACATCCACAAATACGGCCTGTATACATCACAGAACTCGAAGTACCTCACTGGGCCTGTATACACCACCACGGGCCTGTGTGCACCGCATGATTGTGCGCACTTGTTTCCGCCGACGACGAGGGGAGGCGGCCGCACTCAAGTGTCGAATGACAACGGACATCGTAAACTAGTTAATTACACGAATACTGAGGCCAAATGCGCTCCATGGAAGGCGTGGACTTCCGTGTTGGGGCACACCAACTGAGCAAATGCAGTGAACGCAAAGCCCGCATGACTGCGCACTCGCAGACACACGCAAACGCCCGCGTAGCACCACAAAAGCGAAACAGGCATGTGTACACCGTGCAGCCTGCATGTACCTCCGTCCTTTCGACACCGCAGGGCTGTGCGCACCACGTAACGAGGAGGAGGAGAAGGAGCAGGAGGAGGAGGAGGAGGAGGAGGAGCAGGGGGAGCAGGGTGACGAGGAGGCTGAGGAGGAGGAGGAAGAGGAGGTGGGCGAGGAGAGGAGGAGGAACAATAACAAAAACATGTAATGAGCACGAATTGCCGACGTTACGGGTGCGCAGGGACGATGGGACGCAGCGTTATCGCGTTAAACATGGCGGGGGGGGTGCTATAACGTGCGGTATGGTCTTGCGTGTCAACAGCCTCGAGGAGGTAGAAGGAAGCAGTGAGGAGGTAGAGGGTCTTTTTGGACTGCATCTGGCTGGCGCAGGGAGCATGCCGTCCTTTGAACTAAGACCGTTCCAAGCGCCTGGGACGTACACGCAGAGCCTGTACAGGGGTACGGACCTCGCACGTGGATCCCTGGGGAAAATCCCGACAGACGGTAGGAGGGGAAAGGGGGCGAGGCGGAGGAGAAGGATGAAGACTTATGCGCGGGAGATAATTCGGACCGCTGCACCTTGGTTCATTTCCCGGAAAACTTCTGCAAATGGTAAGCCGATAAATGCCAGAGGCGTTCCGTGAGGCATTGAACGATCGTTCGATCGATTGCTCTTCTAGCTCGTCCTGGACCCAACATGCACACGTTTTGCCCTCTGACGTGCGACGTGCGCAGACATGTTGGCCACAAAGACATCTGGTGTAACAGGCGCCATAAGGAAGTGAGTAGGAGTTGAAAACCTCCAGGCGGCAATCAACGGTGATGGAGTACTACAAATGATGACGCCCAACACCCTGAACATCACTGCAAATACCCCCAATCTGGCTCAATACCCCCCGCAGAACTGGGTTCCCGTGACAGGAGAAGAAACCAGCACGGTGCCGGCAACATGGGGCCAGATGTCTAGTGGAGTTCGATCAGAACCAACCTGGCATCACCAGGCGATTATCTTGCAACGGATTGGCACTGCGTGCCCTACCTTCTGCGACTGCTGTCTCTATACAGAGGTTCATTTCACTTGCACAACAGCCAATTGATCAACAAAAGGCCCATTGTAAGGACATTGGCGACCTCTTGCAAACGCTGCCAAGGTAAATGCTTCGCATTCCGCCCCTGGTTTGACACTGGGTGCAAACTATGCCGCCTCAAGCGTAGGCCTGCCCATGGTCCGGGGCTGACACGCGCGAATTGCGCGGACAGGAGCTTGTCTTCGCCGTCAACTAGCATCCTTTGGCGCAGCAGTTGCCTTGGGAAACAGTAGTCGGTGACACTGCACTTTGCGAGTGTGCCGATGGCGGCGCGGGCCTTTGAAGTTATGTCTCTGCGCAACCTCCCCCTGCCCCTCTCTCCCTCCCCCTCCTCCTCCTCCTCCCTCCTCCTCCTTCTCCCGCTCCACCCCCTCCCTCTCTCCCTCCTTCACTCTCACTCTCCTTCTCCTTGTCCTCCTCCTTCTCCCTCCCACTCAAATAAAACATGTATACTGCTCTCCCCTCTTCCCTAATCTTGCCCCCGTATCCCGCGTATTATTTGTTCAAAAGCAAGAATTCACTACTTGTTGATTGTAATGTGTGTTTCGATCGGAACGTTCTCGATCTTCAAACATGATGCTTCCGCTGCGGCGCTGGCCCTATGAAGGTTCTGTGCTTTACTCCCCCCGTTCAACATGGCACTCCCGCTCCTGCTAATTACTGCTTCTGCTCCCGCTCCTGCAAAGAGGGACCAACTCCTGAAACTGCCATCTGGGGATCAAAGTCTTCTGGGGCTCCCCAGCAGGGAGATAGGTCAGGATTCAACGCAATAGGAAGGATTGGTGGGATGGGTAAAAGCGAACCCGCGCGCACGAGCGCAAGCGCGAGCGCACCTGTGGAGCGATCGCCGTCATCGCCGTTGAACCGCCGTCGTCATCGCCATCGCCGTCGCCGTCGTCGTCGTCGCCGCCGCCGTCGCCGCCGCCGTCGTCGTCGTCGTCGTCGTCGTCGTCGTCGTCGTCGTCGTCGATGACGTCGATGACGTCGTCGTCGTCGCCGCCGCCGTCGTCGTCGTCGTCGTCGTCGCCGCCGCCGTCGTCGTCTCCGTCGTCGTCGTCGTCCACGTCGTCGTCGTCGTCGCCCTTGCCCTCGCCGCCCTCGCCGCCGCCGTCGCACTCCCAAGGGCGTCAGCCGTGCCGCGAGCGCACCTGCGGGCAGCGGCGGGCGGGGCCTCGGCGGCCCGAGCCTGCCGCTGCAGCGCGGCGACCTCCGCGGCCAGCTCCTCCTCGCGCTCCTCGCGCGGCGTGCGGGGCGGGGGCGCGCGACCCGCCTGCCTCGGGCGCTCGGGGAGGGGGGGTGCAGGGCCAGAGGAGGGCCAGGGGAGGGACTCGCCATGGACAGCGCCAGAAGGAAAGACCTGCCGGCTTCCGGCCGGGTTCGGAGGAAAAGCCGGATGTCGCCTTCCGGCCGGATTCTGGCTGAATTGCGCCGTGATGTACTGTGGTTTCCATTTTCGGTTGTGTTCTTACCATCACCATATTCGATGGCGGGTTCTTGCCAGATTTCGGAGATGTGTGGTGCAGTTCGTCCGTATCCTGTCGTTTTGCGTCCATGGCGACAACAAAGCCAAACAACGGCCGAGCAGTGGAACCGAAACCGACCGACACTGACAGGCCGCAAGCAACCCACAAGGGCGCAACGACGCAACAACGACACAGCAGCCAACCGAACCGAATCTACCTATCGAACGCAACCGACTGCGACGCAACCGAACCGACCGAACCGTGGACCCCCTTTCCCCCCCTCCCCCGCACCTCCTGCTGCCCCCTCCCCCTCCTGCGGTGGCGTCCTCCTTCTCCTCGACGGCCCTGGCCAGGGCAGCCTCGGCGCTCCGCACGCGGCTCTGCGCGCAGCTGCGCTCCACGTCGGGCGAGGTGGGTTCCGCCGCCTCAGGCGCGGCCGGGTCAAGCTCCAAGGGTTCGAGCACGAGATGATCCACGGTCGTCGTCGTAGTCGTCGTCGTCGTCGCCGCCGTCGTCGTCGTCGTCGTCGTCGTCGTCGTCGTCTTCGTCCTCTTCCGCCTTCTACTCCTTCTCCTCCTTTTCCTTCTCTCCTCCTTCTCCTCTTTCTCCTCCTCCTGCTCCTCCTGTCCTCCTCCTCCTCCTCCTCCTCCTGCTGCTCCTGCTCCTCCATCCTTCCTCCTGTTCATCCTCATACTCCCGTCGCGTATATCTCCTCTTTCTCTCTCCTTCCTCCTTCGCCTCCCTCCTCTCCTTCCTGCCTCCACCTCCCTTCCACGTCCTCTTGCTGAGGCCTTCCCGTGCAAGGCAGCGTGGCGCGCCTCGCAGATTTGAGGCGTGGCAGCGTGCCAAGTGTTGTCCGCTAGGGGTTGTTCTTTTCTTGGGGGCGCTCCCGTCTCCCAGTCGCGCTTGCTTCTGTGCGTCGCCCCTCCCCTCAGCAGGAAGGCGCGGCCAGGCGGCTCTTCGCGGCCCTCCGAAGATCCAAAATGCCCAAGCTAATTTCCAAGACGACCCATGCAGCCCATCAGTGCCGCCAAGATGGCCCAATGTGCCTCCAGTGCGGCACAGGCCACAAAACCGTCCAATATGGCCTCCATGCGAATGCGAATGCGAATGCGCGCTGTGTCCGGCCGGGGGCGGCCGACCAGCGAGGGGTGGATCGCGTGGGCCGCAGCCCTCACCTGATCTTGTACTTCGTGAAATCCTCCTCCAGATCTTCCCAATTGCCTGAAAAACCGAACCACGATTCATGAATACCTGCGTCCGCAAGAAAACTTCGAATATCGTATGCCCACCGGCTCTTGGGTCGACCTTACGATCGAATCAAACTCCGTTTTGCCGTGTGCTGCGGTCCCCACTCAACGACAACACGTGCCCACCGTTCCCTGTCCAGCTCTCGCACACGTGCTGCCCATCCCCATTTGTTCCTTCGCTGTGTGACTGTCCACCATTCGAACTGTATATGCTCCATTGTTGTCTCGGTTGCTCGCGTTGCCCGCCTTATCCAATCCACCCAAGGCTCTAATTCTCCATCTGCAGTGGTATCAATCCATATTCGGCGCCTCCGGTGTCCAAAATTAGGCCGCAACATGCGTCTCTGACATTCCTGCAGTTTCCGTTCCATGTATGCTGTCATCGTCCAGGTTGCTGCCCCGTACAGTACTGTGGACTTGACGATTACGTCATAAGCTTCAAGCGATCCCTTCAAGAATATCCATTATGTGTGAATTCTTGCTTGTACGCCATAAACCATACACTTTCTCCAGCCCGTTGATATCCGGTTATCGAGCTCTGTGTCGTCGGGCTCGTCAAAGGTAAGCTTGCGCCAGAGGTACTTGACATTGCCTGAGAAAAGGAAGAACCTCGATCCTCATATCCCCTGCGTCCATGCACGTCCTGGATATGATCCCCGTTCTTTTTGCAAGATTGCATAACATCTTCGTTTTGTATGGATGCAATTCCAAAACCCTTTCGCCGAAAGCCGCAACGAGGTCGCCAAGCATTTTTCGTAGGTTCGCATAGGACGAAGCAACCAGCAATACGTCGTCGGCAAAGCGTAAATTTGTTAATAAAGTGTACTCTGCGAAACCGAGTGGCAATCCAAATCTCTTCTGCGACCACTTCCCCTTCACCTCCCGGAGCGCGTCTTCCAGGACTGCGTTGAACAGCAACGAACTTAGTGGATCATCTTGCTTGGTTCCCCGTCGCAAAGAGAAAGGTTTGCTCATCTTGTCAGTACGAACGCGAGCCTTTGGTCAACGTATAAATATGATAACAGGTTCACGTAAGCGTCGGGCACGCCCTGCCTTTGAAGCGCCTTCCATACCCATCTGTGTTCCACGCTGTCGAACGCCTTCTTGAAGTCGAGCGCCGCAAATCACACCGGGTGGTTCCATTCTCTTGCTTCTTCTTGTATTTGAGCTGCTGTCCACAAGTGGTCTACAGAACTGGAATCCCTTCGGAAACCAGCTTGGTCCGGCGCCTGTTCCTTGTGTAGAATATTCTCCAGTCGTTGGGCAAGGAGTCGAGCAAACAACTTGTAAATAATTGGTATAAGTGTTATCGGCCTGTAGTTTGAAGGTAGCTTAGGGTCGCCGGCTTTGAATATTACTGTCAAAATAGATTCCTTCCACTTTGCTGGGGCCTTCTGCGGATCTTCCAGAAGACTATTGTATATAGCCAGTAACACTTGTTCTAAAGGCTTGCCACCTGCTTTGACCATTTCAGCAATTATTCCAGCCGCGTCTTTGCACTTACCACACTTGAGTTGCCGAGCTGGCGTTTGGAGCTCGTCCTCTGTGAAGGGCTCGACCGCCGCCACGTCCCACGCAACAGGTATGTCCGCCTCGCCACCCAGTGCATGCCGGGACGCATATAAATCCGAATAAAAATCAAAGAATACATTAGCTATGGATTGTCTGTCTGTTTGTTCCATCCCAGCCACATCCACCATTGATGCAATCAAATTTCGTTTGCCTCTTTGCTTGATGTTTGCAATTATTCCCAGGCCTTCCCTGGAGCGTAATATTTCTGATGCGCGCTCCTGGCATTCCAAGCGGTGCAGCTTGCGGATTTCCCTCTTGCTGGTTTTGCTTATCTGCGAACGTGTGCCAGGATCGTCTCGATGATTTTTCCGTTGATGCAGTAGCGAGTGTAATCTTGAGCTCGTAGGTCTGCCGTCCTCTCGCTTGCGATGTTCTGCGACTACTGCTTTTGAACATGCATTTAACATACATTCTTCTATACGGCCATACTCCAATGCACCAGTTTGAAGATACAATTCTTCCTTCAGCGTATCTTGGTATACGGGAGCGTCAACAGAGCCCACTCGGTATTACCATTCCTACGCTTTCCCTTTTCCTTCTTCTTTTAGCTTACCCACGCCTGCCCTCAGTACCACGCGGACTGCACGATGATCAGAACCAAGATCAACGAATGGCTGGGAATCTGCATTCAAAACTTGTCGCCACGCCTTCCGGTCCACAAGTATGTAATCGATCTGCCGGGCTCGCCCGCTAGGCCCAATAGATGTGTAGCGTTGATGCGGCTTCTTTGGGAAGAACGTGTTGGCGACCACCATTCTTTCGCATGGTGCCCAAGTCTTGAGCCAATCGCCTCTGGAATTAGACAGGCCCAGACCATGACGACCAATGATCCTGGTATCATCGCTCTCCGTGCAGCTGCCCACTTGAGCGTTAAAATCGGCACCGACATAAAAGTTAATTTTCTTCTCCTGCGCCTCTGATTTCAACTCTGCCAGAATAGTATAAAACTCCTGCACGTACGCGTCCCCATAGCCTGAGTGTGGAAAATACGCAGTCCCCATCCTCGCGCTCAGCCCCCCTCCCAAGATACAGCTCGCTCAGAAATCCCAGCGAAACCCCGCATGTGATTCACAAGACGCTTATGTATAAGAATGGCGACCCCACGTTTGCCGGCCATGCCACCAAAAGCAGCGACCAGGTGCCCTGCTGGAGTAGTGAAGTACTCTTTGCCCTCCTCACGCCATGTTTCGTTCAGGAGAAGGATGTCCCACTCCACCGACGATAGTTCAGAAAATAACTCTTCCAGGCGGTCGTCGTTAAAACCACGAGCATTTTTCAAAATGATCGTGATGTTGCGTGTATTCTGGATTCCTCATGTTGAATGACCTTCACAATGCCCGTCCTAGACATCCCCAAAGGCCTCAAGACATCCCAAAAGGCCCCCAAGACGGCCCAAGAGGGTAACAAGGATGCCTTCAAGAAAACCCGAAGAGGTCACCGCCATGGATCACTTGTAGATGCTTGGGTGATTTTCGCGGTCTGGACTTTTCTGGTTTCTGTCAGTCTAGGACGGTCCAAGAGGCCTCCGAGATGGCCCCAAAACTGCCCAAGCAGCTCGTGTTGTGTCGGGGTGTCTCTCCTCGTGCTCATCGTCGTTGTTATCCCTTTCTCTTCTCCCCTCCTCTCTTGGGGCCTCTTGGGGGCCTTTTGGGGGAGGCCCCTTGGGAGCGTCTTGGGAGCCCCTCGGGGCCTCTTGGGGGCTCCCTGGGTCTTCGGGTGCTTTATTGGGCAAGCTGGCGCATTTTGAGCCCGTCTTGGGGGCTTCTCCAGGAGAGTCCAGAATCGAATGGATACGCCGGATCTGAAATCGAAGTGAATCGGATCGGCGGGAATCGGCAGCCCAGTCGGGAGAAATAGAGTCGGCGGAACTCGGCAGGCCAGTAGGTCTCCAGTGAGAAATGGAAATCCAACTCGGACTCCGAGGCCGAACTGGATCCGATTCGGCTTCGGAGGCCATCGAACTCGAATCACCTTGGAGGCATCGACGCGAGCCCCGCTTCTCTGGGCCGTCTTGGGGCCAAACCTCGGGGCACGAGGCGGTCACACGAGACGGCTTCGCGTGCGCTCCTCGGCCCGCCGCCGCCCGGAGTGCCGAGCTCCGGCACGGGGGCGGGGCTTGCCGCGGGTAGCCGGACAGAGGAGTGCGGCCGGGGTGCGGGGTGCTCACCAGGTCGGGCCTGTCAGGTGAAGAGAAATGCACTGGGGGGGGGGGCAACTGGGCTCTGACCGTTCCAGGGCTCCCAGGCCCAGGGTCTCCACCCAGCGCGCCCAGATATGCGTTTCGCTCGTGGGCCACGCCTCCTGTCATCAAGGTGCTTGTCTGGAATGTTTTTCGTTGGTTGTTGTTGTTGTTGTTGTTGTTGTTGTTGCATGCCCGCTTCGGTACTGGCCAATTCGGGGCATTGGACGAGATTGTTCGCCACCTTCTCTTCTGACGTAAGCTCTTCCCATGGGATGCGCATGGCGCCAAAGAGAAGGCCAAGCAGGCCAGCAGCTAAACGGATTCTTCTCTCCCCTCCACCCCTCATTTTCATGACAGGTCATCCTTCCTGCCTCCCCCAACTCATGTAATACACCACTGGGTGTCAGATGTGCGTGCTGTATCGCCCCGCTCACGACCTGTACCCACCACGCAAGATAGCACTGCTGCGTGCCAATGTTCTCACACCGAGGGCAGGTGCAGGCAGCATTCAACTGCCCTCCTGGGCACCAGGCTCGACGATGCTAGGTAGACGACGTCAGGAATGTGTGTTTGAGTGCGCTTGGCTGTTGTCACTATTCGCTGGTCGTGCGCCTGACCAAGCCTCACACCAACATTTAATTGTGCCACACATGCGCTGAAGGATTATCCGGAAAGTAATCTACGCCGAACGACCTTCAAAATCGCCCCCCGAGATCTCAGGCACGCCGAAAAGCCGTGCGTGACCCAACGAGGGGAACGCAGCGGAGATTTCCAAGAATGTCTCGTACGCCATCCAAATGGTCCGTTCCACCAGCCAGGGTTCAAGACCCAATGTGATGTCAAGAATGCCATTTTCGCAAGATCTGTCCGCCAATCTGAGCATGTGGGTGAGAGGGTGCGCCTCCTGTCATAATTCGAACAACATGCGCTCATGGAGCGGGAAGGTCAGTACAAGACCGCGCAGGTTGCGCAATTGCAAGACCTAGCTGACTCGCAATATTGACTGCCATCTGCTCTACACCGATCGGGTCGGTGTAGGTGTGTGATATACGTTTAAGACGAAAGATTGTGATGCCACACCATGTGGAACAAAAACATGCTGGACATAACTTCTCCGCCTCACTGGCTCGGCGATGCCGTGAACATACGAGGTCGATTGACCGCTGTGGCAATGCTGCTGCTGGCTCTCGTCCTCTCTCCTCCTCCTCCTTCTCCTCCTCCCCTCCTCGAGACCGTCGCCTCCGTAACGTGTCCCCGCTTGTTCGCGGTGAGATGCCGCTGGGAGTTTTCCGCGGCTCCACCTCTTCCTCGTGGTTCTCCTCCAAACTCCTCAGCTTCCCCCTCCTCCACCAACTCCGACCTCCTCCTTCTCATCCTCGTCTTCTCCAGCCTCTTCCTCCTCCTCCTGCTCCTCCTCCTCTCCCTCATCAGCATCAGCATCAGCATCAGCATCATCATCATCACCATCATCACCACCATCATCATCATCATCATCAACATCATCAGCATCATCATCACCATCACTATCACTATCACCATCACCATCACCATCATCATCATCATCATCACCACCATCATCATCACCACCACCACAACCATCATCATCATCACCACCATCAGCATCACCACCACCACCACAACCATCATCATCATCATCATCATCATCATCATCATCATCATCATCATCATCATCCTTATCATCATCATCAACATCATCACATCATCATCACCACCATCATCATCATCATCATTATCATCATCATCATCAGCATCATCATCATCATCGTCATCATGTCATCATCATCACCACTCATCATCATCAATCACCATCATCAGCATCATCATGAGCATCAGCATCAACATCATCATCAAGGGCTTCCCCATCCTCTTCTCCACAACCTCCTCCTTAACCGACCGTCTCCACCGAAAGGCTCTCCGTCTGTCTCCCCTTCCTCATTCTCCTCTACCTCCGCCTCCTCCTCCTCCGCCGCCTCCTTCTAATCCGTGTCCTCGTCCCCTGCAGCTCCTGATGCTACTGCTGCTGCTGCTGCTGCTCTTCATCCATGTATGTCAAGCCCTGGATCATCACACACAAGCGCAAAGGCACAATGGCACATATCCCCCCTCTCTCTCACACACACTGTACGATTGGGTCGTACCCCCCTCCCCTATCTCTATCTCACACCCTTGGCCCATTGTGGGTGGTCCCGCCCATCTAAGGATAGGTGCCCGAACAGCGATTACCCGAGACGTACCCGGCGTCTTCTCCACGCACGATCTGCGGTTCCCCCACCTCCGCCGAGCCCGCGAAAGTGGTGACAATTGCGCAGTTCGCAACCACCCAGAGAGCAACGAGGTCCCCAATGGATCTGCGTGGCCCCCGACTCCGCTGGACCTCCCAGGAGCCCACGAAAATAGTGACTGTTGCGCAGTTCGCAGCCACCCAGGGAGCAGCGCAGGATGAGGCGGGATGAGGCGCGAGGAGAAGGGAGGAAGGAGGCCTGGAGACCACAGGGCTCCTTTCAAAACGAGAGCCCAACACACGAAGGTTGGGACCAATCTCACGCACTGTTGCCACGCCTGCGCCTCGGCCCTGGGGCGCACAGTTGGTGGCGTCCTGATTGCCTCTTGGCCTGGCCTGTGCCCCTGCCTGATCGTTCTGCTGACCCCCCGGGCAGCCCCTGCCCCGCAACGGGAGGAGGTGCGGGGGAGGGGCGGTGCCGCCGTGGTCCTCGGCGGCTCAGGCCGAGCACGGGCCGGCGCTGAGCGAACGAGTCTGCACCAGGTGTGACTGTTTATGGCCTCAAGCATGGTCTTGCTGACAACGCTTTCGGGTCCGGGCCTTCCTCCAGGCCAGATGAGGCTGCGGCATTCTCGCGCGCGTGCGGCACAGCCAAAATCCAATTTTGATGTTGGCGCAGCGCCTGTGTTCGGCGCTCCCGCGATTCGCGGGCGACGACTCGGGTCGCCTCGCGCCAATCCGCAACCGAGATATCGAAAGTGCTGGCCAGCGACCGCGGCGGCATGGGTGAGAAGGCCAGACCTCTGACGTCCTCATCTCGCCCCTATCTTTCGCATGGATCTCGCTACCTGGGCTGCCTTTCGTGAGCCCAGGGGCTTGGGGTGAGCTTTCGGAGCGGTCTCTGGGACCCCCGAGCTCAGAAAGAAAAGCTGGGCAACACAGCAAACACTGAAC